CCAGTTTTAAAAATCTGTCTCAGCCTTTTGAATACCAGTGCAGCAGTACTAGAAACTTCCCCACAGGAAAAAAGGCTTTTTTTTTTTCCCCAGAGCTTTGATCTGACATCTTTAACTGTTGAAAAGTATCACCCATCTTCTTAGGATTGACTGAAAAAACTCTGCAAAACAACGAGCTGATAGATTTTCCTCTTTTTTGTGTTCAATTTCAAAATCCGGTGAAGTTTTAAGTTTGAAAAAATTTTGACCTTCTCTGTGATCCAGTTGCATTGGTTTGATTTGTTAAATAAATCCTTATGTGTGCGTCTCTCTTGTTTTGTTTTGTTTTTCTGAACAGGGACTTTGCAGAATTAATTGCAGTTTTGGGATTTTCCCATTCTAAACCCGACTGACTCAGCAAAATGCCTACTTCAGTTCCAGAACTGTGGAACTGCATCCCGGAAGAAATCCTCATCCAAATTTTCTATTATCTTTCTCTTCGAGATAGATACACAGTCTTCCAGGTGTGCAGGCAGTGGGCTACAGCTGTTTCTTCTAGCTCTGTTTGGCATTTCACAGAGATCAGGTAAGAGGAGCGGGTTTCTGATGTCCAAGTGTCATAGAGTCACAGAATCATTTAGGCTGGAAAAGACCTTTAAGATCAAGTCCAACCGTTAAGCTAGCGCTGCCGAGTCCACCGTCTCTGCAGGCATAACCAGATCATTTTGTTTTCAGTGCCTGGCAAACACTTGCACCGCTCTACTGTGACATTGTTGATATTAATTGTGACTTCTGTGTGTGGTGATATTATCTTACAGGACTTACACCTTTTTATGTAATGGAGAAAATTGTGTAATATGCTGGGGGTTTTTTTAACTGCTGCTGCTGATTTGGGTTTTACGGGAAGTATTAGAGTCTTAAATATATTGCTCTAAGTTGCCATTTGAGGATGGGAAGAGACGGTTACTAACTGGTCCACTTCATCATGCTTACTTCTCTGATGGGTTCTTCTGGGGACTTATTCCTCTCACCTCCTGGCTTCTTCAGTATCTGGCCTTATAGTGACTGCCCAGGCATCAAGTGAGAAAAAACATCTGGGGAATCTGTTGATGTTTGCAGAAACACTAGTAAAGGAGAGTACCTGCTCTCTAGTTGGTCAGCTCAGCGTTCACAGTGGCTAAAAGTTTGTTTTACCCTTCCAGCTGTGATTCAGAGGATGAGGAAGGCATGCTGCAGAGCCTGCTCTGGTTCCTCAGCCAAATCAAACACCTGAAGATCGTGTTTGACCAGTCCAAGGAGGTCAACCGGAAGAACGTGACACGCATCTTGGATGTGTTGGCAAAAGAGAACCACAAACTGCAGCAGCTGTGCATTGTGTGCCGTGGGGAGAACCCCTATTTCTACTCTGGCCAGGACATCCTACAGAGCATACGGAATATATGCGACACTAAAAACCAGATAGATCTTCAGCATATCGATTTTCGAAAAATGCCCTTCACTCTTGACGATGAGCTTGTTGAACTCTTAGCTACCACCAACCCAAACTTGCAGAGTTTGTTCATCAACAACCGCACCCTGGTATGCAATGTGGCACCAGACACCATCAGGAAAGTTCTCAGAGCATGTCCCAAACTCTCAGCCTTGGGGGTCTACTACGCCAGCTTGTCTGACGATGTGTTTCAGGAACTGCTCAAGCCCGAAAGGGCAGCTTTCACCCACTTAGATGTTTTCTGTGAGCGCCTGGACAAATACGTACCAGTCATTTCAGAAGAGCTCTGGGCTGCTGTAAGTCAAAAGCATCCTCAACTCTGTGTAGACCTAGAGTTCGATCATACGGTCCCTGCCTGCAAAATACCACGGATCCTAAAGCTGAATATACCTGTGAGCACACTGCAGCTTAATACCTATAACTACATGGTAAATCAGATTAGGTTTGTCACCCAGAGCTACAGCAGCACTTTAAAGAAGCTGACGCTGCAAACCACGTCCTCGGAGGACTTAAATTCCTCGCTAGTAGATCTGGCCAGGCAGTGCAGAAATCTGTTGGAGATCCACTGCTACTGTGTGGTCAGCCAGGAGGTGGTAGAAGCGTTCCTCAGGCACTGCCCCAGCCTGAAACAATACACTCTGAAGGTCACCAAGGAACGGCACCCCTGGAAACCAGTAACAGTTCAGTGACCAGCTCCTCCTTACTTCCTGGGGAAATCATGGGGATCTGCAAGAAGATTTAGGGCTATAAGGAAGACGCTGCAAAATGCCCTCTGTGCTCGCTGGGAACAGGCTGTTTCACCAGCACTGGCTGTTACATATGATGCATGCCCATTCTGCAGCCCAAGCACTTACACTCAAATGTGATAGTGAAAGGGTCCTACGGAGAAATAGAATTGCCCTTTATTTTCTTTTTCTCTTTCTTTCTTTCGGTTATGGAGGGCAGGTTTTTTCTTCTCTGCTGCTTTATTTAGCAGTAGCAGGAATACCAAGTTTACCCCTTCTGGGTTTGACCTCAGCAAAATTTAGTTTTGATTTTGCAATTTTAAAGCACATCAAAGCCAAGCGCACTGTGTCAGGTGCCCAGCAACTACTTAAATAGTTAAGGAAGTGGCAGCTTCAATGCAGGCATTTTCTGCCCAGTGGGGTGTTAGCCATGCAGATTCAGTGAGCTATAGACAGGAACTGTGGTCATCTGATGGAATATCTGCTCTAACCTTGATAATTCCTCTTTTGGCAGATGGTGAGCTCACCCATTATCCAGTTGTCAGGTAGATTCCAGCTTGAATGGATATACCAGGAGCTGAATTATATTAGGAAATACAAGCAGGAGAAAAAGCACCTAAGGAAAAACATTGACAAGGCAGTAATAAAAGGCAAAGGCACATGGCCTGCAAGCTCCCTAGTCCATCTTGTCCTTCTGTTGCTCAGGAACACAGATTTCCAGGTTATAATTCGAATGCCTTTTGCAAAGACCTTTGCTTTCATCACGTTGTTAGTATATCTTGGGAGAATCATGAGTGTTAACTGTTTTTGCATCTGGTACCTGTATTCACATGCAAGTTATCTTGCATCTGAATTAGGTTATGTGTGTGTTGGTCTGTTGTACCAAAGATTTTGGTGACTGTTATTTGAAGAGCAGTTTCTGAGTTGGAATGATCCTGGCATAAAGCTACACTGTGCGCACCTATTTAGAGCTATCTAAAGCATTTATATTAATAATAATAATAAAGCATATTGCCATCTAGATTCTACGTGTAGCTGTTTTCATTGCCCTCTTTTCTTACCTAAGAGCCCAATCATTTCTCTTGACAAATAACATGGAATCTGTAGCCAAACCAACTTACAATTTTGACTTTTCAAAGCCTCGCCAAAGATGTTCAGCCGTGAGGTCTGGCAGCCCTTGTTCATCTGTGCCGGCCAAAGTTTAGGACAAGAAAATTACAAAGTAACAGTTCAGGTGCCTTCACAAACCTGGCATCGCTATGCCTGGGTGTCCCCCAGACTGTCGGCAGGTGGGTTCGCTCCGGTGACTTGCTAACCTCTCAGCATAAGGTGCGCAGCACGTGGTTCCCTTTGCATGACGCTGCGTATTTATTCACAGCTCTGTGAGATCGGCTGCAGTGCATTTTCATTCTGTGTATTGTTCTCCGGGGCTGGTGATGCCATCGCATTGTGCTGAGTTTTTAAGAGTGCGAGCAGCACTGCTGATGTGACTCCCTGGGAGCCTACTTTCCACTGGCCTGGGATAAAATTCGGTGGTTCATTCTCTGTCGGACGCACGCACGTGCAGGGAGGCAGGCACGCCGACAGCGATGGGGTTAGTGTAGCTGGGACGCTGAAAAAACTATGCAGGATTCACCCAGCTCTCTGGTGATGGATGGATACTCCAGCAATGTGCCAGCCTTCCTAACCAAACTCTGGACGCTGGTGGAAGATCCCGAAACGAACCATCTCATCTGCTGGAGTACTGTAAGTACAGCGAATATCGAGTGTCACTGTCTGCAACACCAGGAAAAATGAGGTGTGAGGCCCAAGTGCTGCATTGTGCAGCAACTTTGCTTTACGAGTGCTGGCCAGCTGACTGGGAGAGCGAAGGGACCGATGGTTCATTAGGGGGCCTGTTGGATATACTTGATATTACTCATCTGCTGTATTGTGCGTTTTCTGTTTCAAAGGGTTAACTGGTTTGGGAGTGCTTTAATAACAATATTTACACATTTCACGTGAAGCATCTTAAAGGGTGTCTAATATTAAATCTTCTAAAAATCCATATGATTTTTATGGATAAAAATCTGCCTCTCTTTAAGAGAGGTTTTTCACCTTGCTTCAATCTGTGGTTCCCTAAAATTTTCTAGAAAAGATGCAAAGCCCTGAAAAAAATTCCATTGCCGTTTGTGTTATTTCACATGTGTTTCGTAGCAGCCTTTCACAAGCGCCCTGGGAGAAGGCAGCAGATAAACAGCATTCAGACCTCAGGCTAAAACCTGTGGTTCAAACAGCTCTCAGGCTGGCACCCTAAGTCACTCATGTTTTGGAAGAGCTTTACTTGATTGTTCAACGAGTCTGTGTGGTGATCATGGTGATGTGTGTATGTGCTGTCTGTACAGCTTAATCGGGATAGATTGCTTTGCTTTCATTTCTTATCTGTCACTGAGGCATTAATATACTAAGTGCAATCAGAGAGTTAAAATTATTTATTTGTCCTCCTCGTACAGCATTTTGATACCACATTGTGCTTTTGACCTAAGACTTGCTGTGAATAATGTGATTTGTCTTCAGCAGGGAGTTATCAGATAAGTTGTGTGCATAAACTTGTTCTCCAAAATCAGGAATCTATAACACAAGCAGATTTAAAGGGGAAAAAAAGAAGTCTAAAGCAGCCTTTCTGTCATGTGTTTGTGTCCAGAAGAGCTTTCATTCAAAGCTTGAGATAGGATTTGAGCTGCAAGGCAATGGTTGCTTTCTGATGGTGGTATTACACAGCCGTACCTCTGAGAACCACCAAGTTTTGCTATCGTGTATTTTAAATAAGAACTTTCAAACTAGGAAGGATTTTCTAACATGTGCAAATAGTCCCCTCACTGTTACACTTTACAACATCGTTATTTTTGACTGCCCACCACCACAACATTGCGCTTTCCTGCAGCCTAACTAGCCTACAGCTGCATTCTTGGGAGGTTTTGTTAAGGCTTTTAGATGTCTAAGTTTTCCCATGTTGCCTGTTCCCCTGTTCTTCCTCTTCTATCCATCAGTGTGGTTGGAGCTCAGAAATTGTGTGCATGCCTAAGATTTCTGGATATAATTGGAACTCTGAGAATATAGGACCTATGAAGACCTATGAACCGTTTCTTAGCATGAAGGAGAAGAGGTGGAGAGGAAACGTGGTAATGATTTCTATATACACTAAAGGCTGTTGTGAGGTGGAAAAGAAAAGTGCTGTTCTGTGTCCATGGTAGATTGGACAAGAAGTAATTCAATGAATTTTTGAAATGGAGGATGCAGTTAGGAAGAACTAGCAAATTCCTGGAGTAGCTTGCCTGGGCAGGGCACAGGGTGCCTGCATCATGGTTCGGTCAGAAAGAGTTAAGCATCTGCTCAGAGTGACACGCTGCAGAGTGAATTTTGCCTGGGGCAGAGAAGTGTCTCCCAGCTTGTGCTCCCATGGTGTAGGACAAGCAAGGCACAGCTGCTGTGCAGGAACAAGCTGGCACATGCACAGTTCATCGGTGAACACGCAGTAACTCCCAAGTCTCTTGTGTCTGTAGGAACCTTTTTGGGTGCGCCAGCTTCTGAGAACATTGCAGCCCTGAATTCAAAGGAATGACCTCTCAAGAGGTCTCCATAAGATGTTTGGGTACACGAAACCCTCGTGTTTCTCATGTTACATCAGCCTGCCCAGCCTGGGACACACAGCTGTATGACAGAGAGAGTGAGTGGGCAGAAGTACAAGGGAAGCAGGGTAAACCAGCTCTGTCCCCAGAACAGCCTTTGCAGTGTTGGGAAACCCTGGTCCCTGCTGTCATGTCTTCAAGCTCAGTCTGTGAGGATAATTTCAGCATCCGTCTGTTAATTAGTGAATCTCTTATGCCCTTGACCAGCCTTTGCTTCTGCTGCATGGGGTAAGGAACAACGGGAAAGACCCTGGTGATGGTCAGAGGGCACTGTCGAGGCAGGCGCTCACGTTCAGTGTTTGCAGCAGCAAACAAGGAGCAAGAAGTACAGCTGACCCAGAGACATATGTTTGTGGGCAGGCAGGGTTAACTGGTAGAGCTGACAAACGAGCCAGAGCACAGAGGGAATTGGCACTGTTTGGTGATGGAAATGCACTGGCAATGAGTAGGGTGGCAGGGTTTGCCAGCTGGCTCTTTTCCGCTGGCCATGGGCAGGCTGCAGGCACACACTGGCACCTCTTTAGTCACTGAACTTTCTCGTGATCCTGATTACACTCCCTGTTTTAGAAACTTCCAGGCAGCCCTGAGAGCACCCATGGAGGTACGGACCCTGTGATGGGTGTGTGGTGGACCCGCACACCGCTGGTACACTCCTGCTGCCACAGAGCCCGAGTGCTGACTCTTACGAAACACTGAAGTATCTGAAATACTGAAATATCTGCCGATGTCTTTGCCCTGATAGAGATCTCTGCATCTTCCCTGTCCCTCCATAAAGCTGTGGAGAGCTTAGGCTGCACAGTTGGGTGGTTCCCCAGTTCTGCAGGTCTTTCTCTCTACACAAGCAAAGCCAATGTGAACCCCTGGAAAATACCATTCTCTGTAAGTTTACAAAAATGCCACGTGAGCCCCAAACTCCATGTCTGAAATCATGATTCTTCATTGCTCAAAATTCCTGGTGCTGCCCCGCCCCCCCCCTTCTGGAGCACAGATGGGATTTAAGACATTCCCCCATCACCGTATCCTGGAGACACTGATCTGTTGAAGTCGGAGATTTAGAAAACATTGTTCTAATTAATTGCTAATTTTTCTGTCCCTTAAAAAGGTCACGTGGAATGCTGTTTGCAAAAAGTTTCAAGGCAGCATCACTGCGCCGCGTCTCACGGGCCTTCTCTACACCAGCTTAACTGCCAGCAGGTAGAAGGGCAGGCAGGGGAAGCACACGGCCTGCAGCGTGTCGTCTCTGCCAGCAATCCCGGGCAGTTTGCCTTGTTTTGCAATCACAGATCCTGGCAATGCAACCTCAGAAATGGATATTTTATCTGGTTCACATGGGTGTTGCTAGCTTGGACTGTAAAGCATGACTGTTAACGTTTTGCAGTTCCCCTTGTGGCTGTGTACTTTCAAAAATAGTCAGGAGAAGCTGTGTAGAGCTTCTAGATCAGTGTGGTGTCTCCAGGGATGATTTGCTTTCTTGCCTTGCTGTGTTTCTGGTACCATGTCTCCAGGCAGTGCTCCCTCCAGGACTGCTGGAGCAGACAGGTCAGAGTTAGACCTGTACAGGCAGACTGAGGGGTTATGATGGCAATTCCCACTTTCCAGGACCTTCATCAGACACCACAGTCTTTCTGTGAGGTCCATGCAAGGGTGGATGATCACAAGACACCAGCTATTTCTGTGTAAAAGTCAGTAGTTTCTGTCTAACATCCAAGGCTCTGAACTAAGCAGTGGCAAAGCTTAGTAGAAAAAGATCAAAACGGCAGTCATAGAGGACTGGCTGTACCAGAACTGAAAGGAGTGGATCCATTGTTGAAGGCTGTTGTCACTCTTCTCAGCTTCAAGGTGACAGTTCAGAGAGCATGACTTCCCCCACTGTAGGACTCAAGGGAATCGCCTCTTCCTGGGCACCTCTTTATGGTGGGGGATGCTCCTCTGACTTCGCCTTTGTCCTTGTCTCCTTTGCAGAATGGCACCAGCTTCCATGTGTTTGACCAAGGACGCTTTGCCAAAGAGGTGCTGCCCAAGTATTTCAAACACAACAACATGGCCAGTTTTGTCCGGCAGCTGAACATGTGTAAGTTCAACCTCCAGAGCCTAGGCCGTGTGGGTGCTACAGACACGGGGGGGAGCTACAGTGGGTGCGGGTGGGACAGGAGGCATGGAAGGGAACCGTGGATAGAAAAGTCGAGGTCTCGCATGTATGTGGCGTTGTTGATTTTGCCAAAGAGAACTTGCCTCCGAGATCCCAGGGGAGTGATTTCCTTGCACTGACCTTAGGTTCCAGCATGAAATTTCTGTTAGATTACATTGTAAGAGGTGAGCTAAGAAATTTCAGCTACCAGTTTTTCTCTTGTGTCAATTTGATAACCTGTTAGTATTTTTTTTCCATTTTATTCTATATGGGGCTTTTTCCAGCAGCCTGATACCGTGACACCTCCATCAGAAACTGCTGCTTTTGAGCATTTCACCAGCCAGATCGCTGAACTAATTATGGACAGTACTTCTCCCTGCAAACGTTGCCTTGCTTTTTGAACATTTTCACCTCTTCATGGAGGTTTAGGTGTAGTTTTTAGCCACATCTAGACCATGACTGTATTAAATATGGTTCGTTTTTGGAAGTTTTTCAATTACTAATTCACAGAGTTCCTCAGTAAAGTTTTAAATTTTCTACTTAACTATACAGTAGGACTATTGTAAATTTTAGGCCAGTCTTTAGATATGGTTTCGAAACCTTTCTGGGACTTCAGAGAAGTACCCAAAGTAGATTTGCAAATGTGCAGGTGACCCTTTTTTCCAAAAGTAGCACCTGGTGCTGGTCTGTGCCTTTGAAAAACCTTCCCTTGAATCCCTTTGGCTTTCAAATCAAACCAGAGATTTCTTTCAGCTCTTGGCAGATGGGCCAACATGCCCAGGGGATTGCTGGAGAGGCTTTCACAGCGTGGGCTGGTGGCAGCGTGTCCCCAGAGCCACAGGGTGTCCAGCGTGATGCATGGGGCTCTCCCTTGCACTAGATTTCTTGTAGATGTGGCCCAAAAGCGTGGGGAGGGGGTGCGGCTGTGCCTCGAGCACCAGAGCAGCTTAAAAAGCAGAGGGGGTGAATAGAAATGTCCTCAAAAGCAATGGGGTGGGAGGCGAAGGAGGAGGGCCTGGGTCTGTCAGCCCTTTACCCACTCCCTCTCCATGCAGATGGCTTCAGGAAGGTGGTGAACATCGAGCAGGGAGGGCTCGTCAAGCCCGAGCGGGACGACACTGAGTTCCAGCACCTCTGCTTCCTGCAGGGCCACGAGCACCTCCTGGAGCACATCAAGAGGAAGGTGAGGGGATGGCACAGCTGGGGGGGGACGCCTGGCTGGGCCTTGGCAGGCCCCTGGTGAGCCCCCCGGGGCGGGAAGGCTGAGGCGGGAAGGCTGAGGCGCGGCAGTCCCTGCTCCAGAAGGTTCCACACCACCAGTGTGAAGAGGCTGCCTGGTGCTTTTTCAAAACATCCCTCAACAATCTGCCCCAGAGCTTAACTAATGGTCTGTGTGGAGGCGTGGCTCTCTTGGTTTTGCTTTAAGTCTGCTGTGTCTTTCTTTAATTTGTTTTTCCCAGAGCTGTCTGCTGGGAGAGAAGCAGTGAATATTTGTTTCCTGTCCCTCAGGCATCTTGGGTGGGAAACGCTTTGCTTCCCCCTGAGCAGGAGCCCTTCTGTGCCTGCTGCTGTGCCTCTCTGCCTGGGCCTTTCTAACCCTCCCGCATCCCTTTTTTGGGGTAGATTGACCAGAACAGCACTCCACGGTCATTGCGAGGGTTTCTGCCACAGCTGCAAACCTCTCGTGATAACTCCCCCAATTTTTTTTTTTTCAGACCACAGGCTGCTGTACTATAGACCGCTCAGCGTAACTCCAAGATCACCCTGTGGTCTGGTTTCTGTCCTTTCCGTATACATGTACGGTTGGGGTGAGGGGTCCTCTCGGTGCAGGGCTTGGCTTTTGTCAGAGTTTTGTTTGTGGTTTTTTGCTCCATTGCTCAGTATCATGAGACCTTTGTGTAGTGCTACACAGCCAAGCTTGCTTCGCACCACTCTGCTTTTGAATCGTTACCTGCTTTTCTAGATAAGTACAACACAACTCCTGCTGGGTCTCCCGACAGTCATCTCCTGTTATTACTGAAGTGATAACCTACTCCTGCCTTCTGTTTGCTATATTTTAACTTGTTACCGATGCCCCAAAAGGGCTGTTCTCTTGCTGAATATCGACTTCATAAAAGGCAATTCAGCAAAAGCCTTCTGGAAATCCAAGCGTAATAATCAATTTGAAGCAGCTTTCAGGCTCAAACCTGTAAAATGTGAGGCTGGATTTGGTCTCTCTGTAGTTAAAGTAGAAAGAATTAATCAAATAACCTAGTTAAGTTCCACCCTGTTCTTCAAAATACCATTTTTTTTTCTCCAAGCTGATTTGAAATAAGTCCTCCCTCTAGTGGAGAATGTCCTGCTGCCAACAGACCCTCTGTGAAAGCATTTTTCCTGCTCTTTGCTTTATTTTATCCCTTTGACCCTTGCAGTAATACCCTAAGGCTAGTTCAGACTCTTGTACACGCATCACCTGTCCCAGTATTTCTGCATGTCAGAGTCTGGCTGGTGGAAGTCCTGCACCCGAGTCACAGCAATGACTCTGTCTGTCCATGCCCTTCTTGTGTTGGTAAAAATCCACCTTTGATTTTTTCCTCCTTAGGTGTCGGTAGTGAAAAGTGAGGAGACCAAGATGCGCCAGGAGGACCTCAGCAGGTTGCTATACGAGGTACAGATACTGAGAAGTCAGCAGGAGAACATGGAGTGTCAAGTGCAGGACATGAAGCAGTGAGTTGACTCCTACTCAGGCTGCTTCTTACGGGCATTTGGTTCTTGAAAGTTGTTGATCTTGGGGAATGTTTGAAACTTCGTCCTAGGGAGCACATGCTCAGGGACTGGTCATAGGGACTTAGATCTGTTGAGATAATAACATGTAGGATTTCTGTGCAGACCCCATGATCTACAAAAGTAATTAATGCTCAGCCTCTCTGTCTTCTGTGAAGCGTGGACATAGTTTCTTCATCTATATTTTCCCTTTACGGAGGAGGAAAGCACAGAGAGGACCATGCAGGAAGTATGCGTATGGCCGGGGAACCTAGCTCAGATAACTGTATTTCCTCCAGATAAAAATGATGGTAAAAAGAGATTTAACTCTTTCTCACACCTAGAAGAGTCCTTGGCAGAAATGTGGCGGTGCCATCAAAAAAATAAAAAATATCTCTCTGTCATCCTCCACCTCCAAAATATGTGACTGGCCTAAAGTATATAAGAACACAAGAACTGCTGTAGCATTTAGTCTGAAGGCTGTGTCTCCTGAGATAGCCAAAATTGTTGTATAAGAGCAAAACAATCATATGCAGTGCTTGTTACATGTGGCCACCTGACCTCCAGCTGCCTGAGACACTGGGATTTTCCGAGTGAGATGCAGTCACTAGGAATTTAGTAAATGGATACGGTTTTATAAGTCATGTACTTGGAGAGGTTTTTATGTGCTTCCAGAATTTTAATCCCTACAGAGAACTTCGATTTTTCAAATGCTTTTTAAACAGTAAGACCTAATAACTTCTTTTATAATGAGAGCTGATATTCATACATCACCAGAGGACACTGGGCCTTGGGAGAACACCAGATACTGTGAAACTTCATTGCAGCCCAGCCCCTTAGGTGCAACAGATAAATGTTTTTATCCTTCATCAAATTTTAATGATGCCCACACTTAGCACATGCAGGAAATAATGAAATCCGGGTACAGTGGCAATGGAAGAGTTTCTAGGCTTGTATCATGTTTAATTTTTAAGGAATTTCAGTATTGATGATTTGGCCTTGCTTTTAGTTTATTCTTCCTTTCGATTTGCTTGCTCCCTTCCTCCATCTGGCAAAAGGCAAAACGGCAATCAACTGATTAAAATAATACAGTTTTAATAAACTAAGACAGATCAGAAATCCCAGGCTGAAACTATGTTAATAAATATACACTGGTGAGGAACCATTAGGACACAACTCCAGTACAAGCTGTCAGACTAAGAAAAGCTGCTCTGCTGAAAATCCTGTCAGTACCGGTGCAGAAAGTTCACGGCGGAGATTCTTGCTGTACGAGCTGCTGTACTAGGGCAGCTACTGTGCTCTTTCAAGCCCCTCATATCTTCCCAGTTCGAGCATCGATCCTCTCTAGAAAGATTAAAAGCACCTGAGGGATATGTAGCAAAAGGACTTATAAATTTCACCTGTATGTGATAGGTTTTGCTGGCCTGTCGGTTTTGGTGCATCCATATACTCTTGAGATAAATTGACTGGCAAAACCTTTTTCAGCATGGACTTGGCTGGCATCCAGATTTGGAGGCAGCACAGCAAATAAACTCTGCATCTTCCATTTTCCAGGGCTGACTTTTCAAGGAAGCCCGTAACTCCCCTGTGTGCTATGTTTGCAGACAGAAAATAAATGTACTCTATGTGATTGCAAGCTGGACACAAGTCTGTGCCAGATGAAATCAGTGACTCCCAGTAATGAAATCATTACAGTCCTCCTAGTGCAAAGCTCTCAGATGCAGAAGCATCCCTGGAGCTGTTTCAGTTGCTCCCAAACATGCCTTTGTACCACCACGTGTATGAGGTTTCCGCAGGCAGAATACACAGGACCTCTGTCCATAGGATCTCTTGGTCTTTGGGGACAGTTGTGGAGAGGTTGGGCTTTCTTAGCTCTCGCAGGAAGAACAGTCTTGGTGATCCAAATCATTCAAAGTCATAACTCCAGCCCTGCTGAAATTCTGAATTTGGCCCAAATGTTCCACAAAAACTAAATACAGTCCTCCTGTTACCCTCCCCTATAGATGTGGGCTTGTCTTTGGTTTTTCCTCCGTGCTTTGGTCTGTAGTTCTTTTGAGGTAAAGGAAAAACAAAGAAACTAATTTTGTGACCCCATTTGGGACACCTGAAAAGAGCTAAGCACTGCAAGAGCCCCCAAGGAAGACAGGCTTTGCAAATTGGGTCTACTGTGCATCATGGCAGCACCACAGGTGGTTGGGATGTTTCTGTGCTCATGGAAAGTTTCTGTTTTCGCTTTCAGGCAAAATGAAGTTCTTTGGCGGGAAGTTGTTTCTCTCCGGCAGAACCACTCACAGCAACAGAAAGTGATCAACAAGGTAGTAGTCATGTAAACTCCAAACTCACTTGTACTGTGTGGTGTATGTCCTCCTCTGAGCCCTGTCAGTCATTGCTGTGATGTTAGAAACCACTTTCTAACATTTTTCTTGGTCAAAGTCCTGACCAAGAGAGCACAATTGTCTCTAATTGTCCTGTATTGGCTTGGTTCTGGTTGTACCCAAGCCTTTGGGTTTCCCAAATCTTTCCTCTTTCCTTTGGACAAGAAGCTGCAGGCAGCAGAATTGGCTAGCTGTTCCCCCAGTGGAGACCTCCAGCAACTTGTACATTTTCTAGTGCTACTGGTATAGTTCGAGGAATTACTGTACAACTCCTTTAGAAGGAGCACTGCGGAGCCATCTCTTTTAAAATCTAGCATGACCAGTACTAGAAAAGGCCTCTCCAGTGATTCCCAGATGGTGCTGATGTGACTGAGCATGTCACATTTCCCAGTCCCCCTGAGAGCCACGTTCTGACCCTCACGTGGCATCACAGAGTCATAGGACTGGATAGAAATGCACGAGGCTATCAAACCTTCCTCCAGCTCTGAGGCTGGACCAGCCGCACCACTCATTGTAGAGGCATTTATGCAACCCTATTATGTTATATTGAGCAATGAGTAAGAGGCAGCTGTGATATATAATAATAATAATGCTCTTTTTGTTTGGAGGTCAAAGCAGAGCATTAGGCTCAAGCTGACCTGGGAACATGTTGCTAAGTGATTCCTCTCCAAAGCCATTCTGCATCCTTTTTAGTGTCCTGTTATATCAACACAGAATTTCACAGGGCTGAAAAACTCAACTGAAAGAGCTAAGACCTCCATCCAGGGTCTCCCCTAGGGGGTTGCCTCTTTCATTTGCAAAATCTTTGTCAGACTTTATAGAGCCTCTTATAAAGGTCTCTAAAGACTTCTGCAGAGGCCAAGTCTAACTCCAGGCCAAGGAATGTTTGCATGTGTACTTCACAGGCAGATTCCCAAGTCTACTAGTGCTAGCTGGAGTTCTGCACAGAAGTGGAGAGAGAAAGTGGTGAGCATGTGCATCTTGCAGCCTTCGTGCAAAGCAGGCACCTGGCTGTGTTTCTTGAAAGCCAGGCAGGTCGTTTGAGTTCTTGGAAAGCTTAGTTTGGGTTTGGGCTCCGATTTCTCAGGCAGTTTGGCTCCCATGTTTCATGGCTGCTCCCGGCTTTGGGGGTGATGTCGGGAGGGAGGAATGTGTGAGGTAAGAATGGCTGTGAGAGCAGGGAGTGCTGAATCACTCTGCTGATTAACACTGGATTTTGATCTCTCCTGACAGCTGATTCAGTTTCTGTTTGGCCAGCTCCAATCAAGCCCTAGCAGCACTGGGATAAAGAGGAAGCTGTAAGTACCCTTGTGTGGTGCGCACACGCTCACGGGTGCATAATGCTGCCCCCTCACTAAAAGCACAAGCTCAGCTCGCCCAGGCTGGCGGTCACCGGACCGGGGCACCATGGTGATGGGAAATGAATGGGCTGAACTGCCGAGTCAGACCTGCTGACATGCCCCATTCAGTGCTCTTTAGAGAAGCACCATGTCAGCTCGTGACCTTTATTTAGGGAATACAGGGCGAGATGGGAGATGGGAACACTAACTAGTGGGAGGGTAAAGGGCAGGACCCTGCTGCTGGTCCTACAGGTTCTAGTTTTGCCGCTTGTCATCAGTGGGAGCAGGGCTGGGCCCAGCCAGCCCACAGACACCCACAGTTACCAAGTGGGGTGTGTCTCCAGCACAGGTCTGGTGGCACACAACCTGCAGGCCTTATGGAGAGAAAGGTGGAGAAAGATTTTAGCTAGGGGTATCTTTAGAGTCATAAATAAGTTCTTCAAGGCAAGTGAATAGAGGAGCTTGAATTAGGAAGCTTAGTGCCTTCCAAGAGAGCAGCCATTCATTTCTTGCTCTATGGTGCTTGTGATCTAACGAGGGGAGAGGGGCTACTAAGAGGAATTTGCCTTTGTGGCTCTGGCTGAGGGCAGGGACCTGCCTCCAGTTCCCACCTTTATTACCCTGTGGCCTTTGGCAACTCAGAAACTTCTCCATGCCTCAGAGAAAGGAGCCAGACTTCCCAAGAATGGAAGACTTCCCCTTCCTCAAGGGAACTGATTTTCTTTAAGTCAGTGTCCTTGTTTTTGGCTGACTCTTCTTGTGAGGATTGTACAGGAAACACAGGATTGAATGAAGGAGCCCATAATCTGTACAAGGAAGCTGGGTACTCTTACCTCTGCCTACCCCCTCTACTGAGCCTCAGGGAAGGGATAAACACTGCGCGCAGAATGGTAGCAAAGAAGGGCTCAAGGGGAGGATGTCAGCTGCTCTGTCGCTGAGGTTCATGAGTGAGGAAATCTTCCTCCAGTGGAGTCGGGAAGCAGAGAAATGAGATGCCAGACCTGATCTCTAATTTCCACGCTCAGGGCTGTACCCTACCTGTAAAAGCTTTGCAGCCCAAGAAACGTTGTCTTAGACTACTGCTTTCTGAGAAAAGCAAATTGTTAGTGAGAGACTGTGCTGCATGGGGCAGAAGAGCACAGAACTATCTGCACGGCCACTGTGTTGGCCTCCTTATGATCACACGGATACAACCCAGCTGCAGTTTGCATGGTATTGTGCATGTTAATTTGAATTTCTGCTTTCTTGGAAACACAAAGCCCTGTGTTCAAGGAACCTCAGCTCTTGTGTCTATATCTACACTTCTAATGTTTTATCTTTCACAGTTGTGTTTTCCTGCCTGTCTTTTAAATGACTGCAGGAACACATAGCGTACAGCCTGGAGCAACTGTTGGCGCGGACCCGAGTGCTGACTGGGGGCTCTGCGTAGGTTTGGAGAGGATGTAGGCACGTCTGACCAGGGAGGCTGTTAGATGTCAAAGTTTCTTTGATAAGAAGTGTTGGATGGGGAGGTTCATTTGTGGTACCTGGAGCAGAGAGCTGGACACTTACAAATCTGTAATTGTCACGGGGCTGGCTATGATATCTCTGTGTGTACTGGAGGGTAGCTTATGTCATAGCAAGGCCCATGTCAGGGTGATTCACATGTTCTTCTTTATTCTCTGTCTTTAGTTAATGTCATAGAATAGAAAAAGGCTGTTAAAGGGGCTGTTAGGCCACGCTGGGATCTCAAGCACTGTGGTCACTGTGTCCTGCCCTTTGCTGTGGGATCTCATTGGAGTCTGAGCAAACCCGTAATTTCTCCCAACGTATCCAGCTCCAGTGTCTGTAGGATGAAGGGAGCTAGGAATTATCTTCTGTCAAACCTGTTAGACATTACTATGGAAAAAACCTTTTGGCTTTCCCTGGTGCCCTCAGTCAAATCACTGTCTTCTAAATGAACACTAAAGATACTTTTCCTGACTGTGGGACAGTGGGAGGAGAAGCGGGATTTGCTAGGCAGTTTTATAGGATCATCCCAGCCTTAACAATAGTGGGTGGGTAGCAAAATATACCAGTTCCCAACTTCTCTAGGCCTGTATCACAAAACCAAGGACTGCCACCCAGGACGTTTCAGGATGGAAAGGCAGCGCTATTTTGAGGTTCCTTCTCATTTTCTCTTGGTTTCAATCATTCACTAAACACTCCTGCTGCAGGACCCAGCATGTAGACCCACTTCTTGGTGTCAGCAGACATCTGTAAAAGCCTGTCAGTCAATTTTTAAAAGCCTGTATGCAATGAGTTCAGGCGTCTCTTTGTTTTGCATCTCCCCCTGTTTTATTACTTAGTGGGTGGCATGGGTTCCTGTTACGCAGTGCTGTGTACGGAGACGTAGTTTTGCCAAAGAGGCCCTGGGCACGAGAGAGCTGGTAACAAGGCCAGATTCCCAGTACTGCATTAATAATTTCAGCGTAGCTACCTCCAGTTAAACAGGCTGAGCATCCAGCCCAGAGTTTGAAATCACTAGCAATTAGAAGAAAATATGAATTGAATTTGTTGAACTCAAAATATGAATTTAATTTTTTATTTTACTTGCATCTTTCCAATATGATCCAGAAAGCCCAGATCATCTCTTTTCTATATGGCTAATGCCCTTTTTTAATGGTGACCTCCTCTAAAACTGTTGTTTCCCTTCCTTGTCCATAACACTGGACAAGAAAGTACCTTACAGCTGAGGCAAAACAGAGTACCCAGGGGAAAACAACCCTTGGCTGAGAGAGATTTCTTGTATGAGCAATGACGAACCAGTCAGTATGTGCTGGGAAAACAAACCTGCTTCTCTTCACAGACCTCTGATGCTTGACAATGGGATCTCAGCTCCCCAAGTGTCCAAGTTCAGCCGGCATTTGTCTACGGACCCCCTCCATGACCCCTATTTCATACAGTCGGTAGGTTTACTCCAGCCTCTGAGCTTTGTGGGATTTCTTTGGCCAGGGTGGAAAAACGTTTGAAGCAATAATACAGATTAAGTACAGAGTAAGTAGTTTGGCAAGAGTTTGGCAGTGAAGAAGAGGTTTGCAAAGCTGAGTGACATTTATTATTTCTTCAGCTCCCCTGTTCCAGGAAGGGGCGCGTGCTTGCGTGCGCTTATGCTGTTGTGTTCATGTGGGAGGGAAAGGCAGACCCCATACACCATGCTCTCCGTGGTGTTACTCCAGCCTGGCTCACTTCAAGGGCAGAGAGGAAAAAGTATGTTCTAGAAGTGGGTACTATAAGCTTTCTGACCAGAGTCAGAGTTGCGGAGGGATCCCCACCACCCTAACCCACCAAAGCAGACACCAGACACATGACACTTATGTCACACAGTGAAAAGACTCAAGCTGGCGTGAGAGACCCATACTCCCCCGTTGGGCTGTGCTGGATTTTTCCCTCCAGAAGAAGCTAAGCAGTCTAGGCAAAATGTCAGACCTGATAAAACCTCTCAGTAGCTGACACTACAGTCACAGTGCTTATTTTGCATCTGCACCTCTGTGTGGTTGGAGGAAAGGCCAGAGGAAATTACAATGCTGCATGGTAGGTAAAAGCTTTCTTGGTTTCCATACAAGGAGGGCGCAAGGGCACATTGCGTAAACTCTAGCTGTCTCAGATAAGGCTTTGGGCTTGTTCTGGTCCTCAGAAGGATTAATCTGTATGATTTTTGCTTTCCTCTTAGCCATCGACAGAATCTGCCCCTTGCCTAAACAGCCCTGCTGGCGGGCCCATCATATCTGATGTTACAGAAGCATCACCATCCAACATAATAAATATGCAATCCCCTCCTGAAAATGACAGGTAAACATGTTTGTGATTAAAACCAGGGAGCATCAGGTATGGACATGCATAATGTCAAAAGAGTTTTTCCTGGCTGTAATTCTACTGAAGTTTCTGTCTGATTCGCAAATCTCTATATAGAGATGGTGGGCTGGAATATTTTTTCCACCCAGTTTGCGATGTGGGTCAGGCTTTCAGAATTACGGAGGAATAATAAGAGCATAACTTTGGAAACAAAGTCATGAGTTTCATGCCGAGAACTTCCACTCACCTCTTTGGGAAGCATTCCATGCTTCTTTATATTTTGTTCTCAAGACAGGGACTGGTCTCAGACTTTATCAAATAATGAGATGAGAGAGAGAGAAAAGAAGTTTCCTTTTGGCTTTGACAAAGAAGAAACAGAATCAAACTGTACATCTTTCTGCTAATGAGAACAGAAAGGCTGCATCACAACAACTTCCGATGTTTGACAGCTTTTCTGTGAAATGGTCCCAGTAAGTTAAGAACTGAATGCAGAGGTATTTTAAAGCTTATCTCTTCCTGCCACAGACATGCAGTGTATTTAGGGCTCATAGCAGAATAGCTACAACTATGTCAGTGGAAAGTAAGTAGACAGATGAATCACGGAAACAGTTTCTCAGGCATAGAGGCAAGGCAGTTATACTCTAGAAATGGCCTGTTAATCTGCCTAATAATTGAAAACATAGCCATAAAATTAGCTAGAAGCACGTAAAGAGCTCCAGATTAAATAGAAAAAACCACAAAAAAATTCGAAAAAACAAGCAACTGGAAACCATTTCTAAAGCTGAAAAATTTTAATATAACCTTCAAGATAAGTTGCTTATTTCACCTAATTACTGAGTGCCCTCTGGTGGCCTGTGATCTATGACGTGTCTCGCATGCCTCGAGAATCTGAGCCAGCCATGGCCCTAACGAGTTCAGGAGTGTGGTACTTCCTAAATCAACACAAGCTTCTGGTGGCAATGTAGGATTCACCAGATGAGAAGATGATCTGAAA